CCACCCCCTGGCTATGCGAACAATCCTGAGCCGTAAATGCCGTCGTGGCATGTGCCACAACCGTACCAGCCGGGACGCAGACGTTTTCCGCACCCGCATTGAGCACCTGCAAAAACGGTAATTGATCCGGCCGGACGATGGTCTGTGCCCCAACCAGCGCCAATCCGGCCGTAATCGAGGCTGACGGCGACAACAAAACCCCAACCGCTCCTAGCCGATCAGGCAGGGGCTTCCGATACCGCAAGGGAATAAGCATCTGTGAGCCAGGTGGGATGTCAACAGATGCCACGGACAGTGCCTGCACTTGTGCGGCTGAAGCAGGTCACCCCCAGGGCGACGGCAGAAACGAGATTTGACGGCCACCCGGCAGTTCAATACAATTCTCATTAATTTTGATCAAAATAGGCATCTTAGCCAGGAAATCAGTGCCCAATAAACAAGGAACTGCCGAGGACCTTGAAATCAACACAATGCCCGAGGCCGACACCTCCCCAATAGATATTTTAGCATCCACCTGGCCCACGATGCCCATGCTACCCCCGTTCGCAGCGACGCACGACCCGTAAACCGGACGCACGGCCCCGGGTGGGATGCCCAACAGATGGAAAATGACATCTGAAATAATAGTCGCGGACGCCCCGGAATCGACCAAAATGCGCACGTCCACCCCTTGTATAGACCCCGGTACAGTGGACGAACCCGTAGCGGCCGCGACAACCCTCCGTGCCAACTTGCGCCACTGCGTCACCGAGCGACAAGGCCCCGTCGATGGCCTCACCTCAACAACAACATTTGAATCGCGCAACGAAGGTGATGGGTGAGGTGCAAAGCCTTACCGGGTGTCTGGTGTGTGCCGACTTGCCTGTTTCGGAGGTTCCTTGGTCGGCTTGTCCGTTGATGAGGCCTCCTGTTGCGGCGGACCCGGGATGCGGGCCCAGCAGTCCTTTGCGTAGTGGCCCTTCCGCCCGCAGCGGAAGCATTCGGCGTCGTTGCGTCGAAGCGCAGGCCTTGCATCCCGCCGGCCCCGTACCGGTGGTGCGGCACGCGGGCCCGGCCCGCCGCGTCCCGACCATGGACCGGAGGCGGCCGTCAGCTCCTGAGGGCCCCCCCCATCCAGCACATAGACCGCCTTCGTAGGGTCCCAACCCAGAGCGCCACCCTCTGCGACGGGCCCCCCCGTCCACGCCACGACTTGTTTCCACCGTCGGAGGTTGAATTGTGCATCGAGACATTTTGCCGCCGCCCGGGAAGTGAGCTTCTCATGCCCACACACAGGCATGGGAATCCCAAGATCCCGAGACAGCTCGAGCATCTTGCCCAAGATGAGAGGCTCGAGCAGGTCAGGTGTTGTCTCTGGATATGCGGCCATGGCCAAATCAAGCACCGCACCCCTGTATGCAACGGGCGATTCCTCGGGCGCTCGTTGTCGTTGAGCAAATCGCCGATGCGCATCGTCAGGTGGCTCGTAGGCGTCGGCCATTTCTTCAAAAACTCCATATAATGTCTTCTTCTTTTCGGCCTTTATGGAACGAAAAAATCTAACTGATTCGTCGTCCAGAAGAGTCGGCAACACTTCTAAGGCCTCAGCATCGGTCCACCTCGCCGAATGGACCACCGCCAAGAATCTGCAGGCGAAAGCGCTCCAATCGCCGCCGATGGCGAATTCCTTGACTGTGGTAAGATGGCGACTCTGACTTCTCTTTACTCCGCCCTCCACCGATGGCTCCTCCGGTGGTAAATTCAAAATGGCGTCGAACCGCGGCGTGGTCAAGATGGCGGTTTCCCGCCGCGGAACGCACAAAATGGCGGCCTCCTGCCGCGTGGCTGATGGCGTCGGAAGCGAAGACAATGTGGCGGCCTGTGGGGCACTCCCTGCTCTCTCCGTCTCCGTCCTTGGCGCGACGAGATGACACAACTGCGCCAGGACGTCCTTGAGAGTCTCCAGTTGCTCCGCCATCTGCTGCCACCGTGGATCAGCGTCCGATGATGTTGGCGGGCCCGCCACCGCGGCGACATCTTCAACTCCAGTCCCCGCGCTCGCTTCAGCAGGGCTCTCCTCCACCACCCCAGCAGAATCCATGGTTGGAGGGAAGTCGTCGTCGTCGGACGAAGAAGCCGATGCTGGCGCCGGAATAATTTTCTTTCTCACTTGCTTCGACATGCCGTTGCACTTCCGACACCAATGTAATAAAAGACTCGACCACGATGTCTGGCTTGGTGTCCTTTATTCGGTTCGTTTGCTGTCTCCCACACGGCTGTCCTCCTTGAGACTTCCACACGGTGCCGACGCTGTTGTTACACCCGTCACCGCTAACAGCTCCGCTGTTGGTCTCCGTCGTTCCCGTAGCCTCTTAGCAGCCTCGCTGCTGTTACCCTCACACAGCCCCCCCTGGCTGTACTCGCTGCAGCTTCTCCTCGTGTCGCTCCCGTAGCCTCGGACAGCCTCACGGCTGTCCCCCTGTCGCTCCCGTAGCTCCTAGCAGCCTTGCTGCTGTCTCCCATACACAGCCTCCCCGGCTGTCCTCGCTGCAGCTCCTCAACCGCTCTCTCTCTCCAGCAGCCCCACTGCTGTCTCCTCCCGCAGCTCCGCTGGCTGCTCCCTTAGTTGGTCACCGCTGGCCGACGGTGCCACTCTTCCCTGGCTTCGCCCTGCGTGGCCTTACCCTTGCTCAGTCTCTCACTCTCTCCCGTCTCCTTCCGGTTTCATCCCTTAAGGACCCGGACCTTGCTCCCACGTCACATAACTCCACCTCTCCGTGACGTCACATCCGGGAGGTCGCTCGCGCCCGCATTACACCAGTAATAATTAGTTTTACACAACACTTCAACGTTATCAAAATCAATTGAGTGTCCTTGTTGACAAGCATGCTCTGCCACTGCCGACAGTTGTGTTTGAGATAATTTAATGTTTCTTTGGTGTTCTTTTAATCTTACGCTGATGTTACGTCCTATCTGTCCAATATAGCATCTGCCACATAAACAATTAATCCGACATACATATTCTGTTGATAATTTAGGTAATTCGTCTTTAGTGCCAAATACCAGTTTTTGAATGTTGTGCACTGTACCAAAACTTACTTTAATGTTTTGCTTTTGCAAAACCCGGGCTAATTTGTCATTTGCTCCTGAGATGTATGGTATTTTGATTGTTTGAACAATCTTATCGCTTTCAGCAGTGTTGCTTTGCGTTCGTGATTTGGCCTTCAGTGCTCTGTTAATTTGAGCATTATTGTAGCCATTCTGTCTTAGTGCTTCTTTAACATGTTTAATCTCTTTCACTAGACTCTCACCATCTGACACTGTTTTAGCCCAATGTATGAGTGTTTTGATAAGAGACGATTTTTGAGCTGGGTGATGATGTGAATCTGCATTCAGATAGGCATCAGTGTACGTTTTCTTTCGGTAAATGCTGTGTGTCATTTTGCCATTAAGACCACGTCCCAGCAAAATATCTAGGAACGGGAGTATGTTATTTACCTCCATTTCCATGGTGAACTGGATAGCCGGGTTTTGTGCATTGAGATGATTTAGAAAATCATTAAGTGCATCTTTACCATGTTGCCAGACAACCAAAGTGTCATCAACATATCTAAACCAAAAGGATGGTTTTAATGTACTCGAGGCAAGTGCTCTTGTTTCAAAGTTCTCCATTTACAGATTGGCTATAGCAGGAGATAAAGGAGAGCCCATTGTGGCTCCTTCCCTTTGTTTAAAGAAATCGCCTCTCCATAAGAAGTGTTATTTAAACAATGATCAGCTAGTTTCGGAATATCTTTTGGTAAACCTGTATTCTTTACCAGTGTATCAAGTAATTTAAGCGACTCGTTCACTGGAACCTTTGTGAATAGAGAAATCACATCAAAACTCACCAGAATATCATTAGGGTCTATATAATTACAATACCCTCCCCCTCTTTGCCTCGAATCACTGCACCAGATTGAATTGAATTAAATAATGACGTCACCCTGATGCTGCTCTATTTAAGACTGGAAGCAACAGGAGAGCTTCACGATTCTTGCCCGATGAAGCTGACTGTAATTATCAGCGAAACGTCGTACTCAAATTTTAAAATGCTGTTGATTCTCTCTACAGCACACCGGTGGGCTAAAAAAGTTAATTATTTTGTCCTTTGAAAAGCGTGACACATTTTTTACTGTGTGGCCGTGTCGGGTGGTGGAGGGTTACGACACATTTATAAATAACGCGATCTGACCCAAAAACCTATATTATGAATAATATTGGTCGCGAAAGCCTATGTGTTAAAGTGTGGTGTGAGTTGGTTCATGTGTGATCCGTGTGTATTGTTAGTGATACGGAGACGAGGTTTGCAGGAGGCACCTTTAATTTAGAACATTCACGGTCTCGCCTGCACACTCTCAACAGTCGCTTGGCCTAGCCTATACACGACGCTAGCCGTCTAACACTGACGGCGCTGAGACAGCCAACAACTATCTGACAGCGCAATATCGAGCGAAGACGGCAGCGACGACGAGACGAATCCAATCCCAAAACAGGCAGCCTCGAGCTCCCACTCTCGGCTCCTTTTATCCTACCAGCGCGGCCTAACTCCGCCCTGGCCGTGCCTCCCTTCCCGAACCCACTAGCAGGTTCCAGGGGCTTCCAATGGGGTCCTCCGTGACCCTTGCCCCAGTTCCTCCGCCCTGCCAACACACACCCGTGCACATGCTCATCGATGTGTGTACTGTCTGTCCACCACGGTTGCCGCTGCTGTCCACCAGCTGGCGCTATTACACTACACGTGTATGAGGTGGCGTCACCGACTGTAAGCAGGGTGGTCACATGATGTAAGAGTCGGCGTTCATCTTCTGTCTTCTCTGTACCCGAAAATACCTCCAGTCCCACAAGGGAGTGTTGATCGGTAGGCTTGGACCACTGCTGGAGCGTGCTGTGACCACGCTGCTCGCTGTCCACTCAGGGGCTGTCCGCCTGTCAGGCTTGGTCCACAGCTGCGGCCATGCTGACCCAGCGCTTGTAGCGCGTCAGCAGAATGGTTGCACGCCACAACACTTGACCTGGCACGCCGTGAGTCGGTCACCAGCAGCTTTGAGAGGAGCTTGGTGTGCGAGCACCCGTTGAGGCCCACTCTCGGCGATCAGGGACGTGTAGGCGGCCACTGGTTTGGCGAAGACTGCACATGGCAATTCAGACAGACTCCCGACCTTTCCACACCTCGTACAATATCAGTCAGGTCGACCACTATCAGAACTTCACAGCCTGTAGCCTGGGCAATATTTCTGTGCACACTCGATACTGGTGTTTACCTCAAGTCTCCACTTGGGGAAGTTGCTCTATGCCAACAATTCCCTCACACCTCTCCGCTTTGCACAGTATTATATCGAGAATTCATTTGCACAATAGCATGAGGGAGAGCTATATAAAGCCACCTTGCCACGAGGGGCGCTTATCAACAATTTTCCTTGACCACGCAACTTATCGCAACACTACTTTGCGAGGTCCTTGACTCTGCAAGGGAATCAAAATGTAAAGAAAAATATAAAATAACACTTTCAGGGACACTTAAGAGTCTGCTTTAGCAAATTACGAGGCCCAATCCCAGAGATTGCCTCTGCAAGACTGATGAATATGATTTGTGTCTATTGTTTTTAGGAATTTCTACTTTTTTTCAGTTATTCTCTAAGTCATGTTAGAGCCCAGAGCTCCTCCCACTGTCACGCCCCTCGAGCATTCATCGGCTTGGCCTTAGTTAAACTTTCGTCCTGGCTCTCGACATATCCTGGGGCCTGATGTCATAAGCGCCATATTTCCTTTCTTCAGAGGTCATCCCAACACTTGTGTGAACACAGACTCACTTAATTGCCCTTTGTGATGTCTCTCAACTCATAGATGCGGTGTGTGTGTGTCGAGCACATGTGTTTAAGTGTGAAAACGGCCTCTCCTCTGGGTATTAATGTCCCCCCACAGTGGCGGTTATCTGAACTGGTCCTGGTTTTCCCCCAAAGGCCACCCGGCCTTAAAGCGAATACCTGGTGCAGCATATAAAGATCACCACTGGGGAGACAAAAGGCGATCGGGCGTGGCTCTGGTTATAGCCCTTGAACACATTACTTTTCATCATGGAGAATTGCATGATTAGGATTATATATTGTTCTAAATGATCCTTAGGTTTAATAGGAACTTCCATAATTCATTATCAAGTTTAATATGCTTAACCCAGACCTTATGACAATTATGTATGGATAAGTGGGTGTTAATAAAACATGCAAACTAGTCATTCAAAACCTCCTGACCCTACGCTGTATTATCATGTAATAATACATCCTATCATTAAATTGCCATTTAGTACCACGATGTTTAAGATTATTCATATGCGGCGGTTGTCATTTTGAACGTTTCAACTTTCCAGACACCAGGGTTTGTTAATTCACAGTCGTTGAAACGGCAAGGGACATAATTGTCTCTTTTCCCTGTATATGGCCTCGGGTCGCCAGCAGGTTTTATGGGTGTGTTTAAAAATAGGTCCTCTCTTGCACATCCTGTTCTGCTCTGGTTCTTTGGAGACGGCTGATACCTGACACCGCCCGTAAAGTCTCTCTCAGAAACAGATGCTGGGTCACTCCTTGCCCACGCAAGGGTTATTTCCTCTATGGCCTGCCATTCCCCTGTTCCCCCTCTGCTGCATGAGTTGGGTTCATTCCTGGGAAGCAAAATACACGACAGCTTCACACGACCATCATCAGCTCTGGTGATTCTTATCATGCCCATCTTATCAAAGCCTCTACACTGTAAAAAAATGTGACACATTGTTACTTAAAAAAATTATGGCAACAAAGTGACACGTAATATAATTGAGTAGATTTTAAGCACTACAACTTTGAATAAAAAGTGTTGAATAAATTAACTAAAAAATAATAATAAAAAATAAGTACATGGTAATAAAAGCAACAGTTAAAATGTGTTGTATTTAGTAATATGATTCCAAATGATGAGTTATATAGCCTAAAAAAAATTGTGTAAATCCAAATAGATTTTACAAGGAAAAGTGATTTATATTTACTTAATATCTGAGCAATGGTAATTTAGATTTACTAAATATCTGGTGGAATCTGATTAATATTTATTAATGATCTGGGTGAAATTGATTTACATTTACTAATTGTCTGGGTGAAATTGATATAAGCTTACTAAATATCTGGATCAAAATGATTTGGATTTACTAAATAAAATACTTATATTGAAGGTCTGTTGCCATAACTTTTCTATTTCTAATCCACCCAATATCATGCCTTCGTGGTGCCACAATTCACTTACGTTAAGTCAACCGATCACCATGAAAAAGATAAGAACCATGAAAAGGAACAGCAGGTTAACATTTATTCGTGCAATTTTGTCTCAACATATTACAAGTACAAAACAAAGACAGAAATCATGTATGTGTACAATAGGGATACAATACTGGAGGTATTTATAATTTGTGGGCATTACAGGCACAGATTACTTTTTTGGATGTGATTCAAGGTTTAGTCTTTTTAGCACATTTAAATTACGACAATGTTTTAAAAAAAAATCTGTAAAAAAACTTTCATATTATTTCTTTTTTATATGCGCAAATTGAAATCCTAAGGGCCAATATGTTTTTCAAACAGCTAAAAGAGATTAAAACATCACCTGAATTGACTTGCATTCCCTGTACTTATACTAGTAGCCATAATCCACAATCCGGGTGGACCTATCTTTTTTAACATGCATAATTACAGTCGTCAACGTAAAGGATTATAGACAGTCTTGTTTCTTCCCCAGCATAAAATACATTTTGCTTGAAGGATTTTCCATCAAAAATTGACTTAATATATCCAGTACTATTTGATTTTCTGGATAAAATTATTTCTGCAATGTCTTCATTCTTCAAGACTTCCTGCAAAGTCTGGAGAATAGGCACATATTGAAAGGTCTTGTTCTTTTCAGTATCAATAATATATTCAATGCTATCAACACACTGGAAATGCACCTTAAAATACTTTCTTCTCTTAAAAGCCGAACCAAGTGGACCACCTACTCCAAGTGCTGTACTAATGGGATGGAAGTTGCACAACTGCTCTGACAATTCAGTTACGATGGCCTGGTCAACAATGCATTTATTCACCTTCAATGTTGAATCTAGTATGTTCCTAACAACTGCAACTGATACTGAAGATGAAATGAACTGAAGGTCTTCAACCAAGGCATCAATGCACTTCACTGAGGCATTATAGATGGTTTCTAGCTTCAGCAGAAGTAAGCCAATTCTTTGAAGAACTAAGTATGATGCACTTTCCTGATCACAATCTAAACTAGTGCCCTCACCATCATTGGCCTCTGGTAAATCAGAATGGTCAACAGTCTGATTATGGCGACTCTCATACACATCTTTCTTAAAATCACTCAAAGAATAGGATTTGTGTCTTTTGCTTTTGTGTTTTAGAAATGTATTGTATATATTTGTCTGAAAGCTGCATCCTTCAAATACACAAAAGACAGTTTCCTGGCTCTTCAGATGATTTCCAATATGCTGAAAGTAGTCCTTCTCTATAGAACAACAAGCATTGCAAACTAAACACTTAAAAGCAGAGATGTTTCCTGACCGTAGACTTTCTTCATCTGAATGGTATCTGGACAAATGTGTGCGAAGGGCACTCTGCGTTTTAAATGTGCAAGGGCAACTGTCATATAGGCATGGCTGGGATTGGCCACGACCAAATATTGCGTGTTGTCTGTAATGCTTTAGTAGATTTCCTTTTGTGGCAGACAAAGACTTGCAGATCTTACACTTCCATTCCATAAGCAAAAACCTGAGGCAGAAAAAGGTCCATGCATCAGATGCAAGGCCACCAGGTCTCTAATCACATGAGGACAATATAATCGCATTTACAAGATAATTCTTTATTATTTTTAATATTCAAATTTTCATGCTCAAATTTAGCACATCAACTTCTTGTCACTCACATCATCTAGCTAGCTAGCAACTACACAACAAGCTCGCCACAACGTAAAGGTGACGCTAACTGACTGGTGGCAAGCTAGCTAACGTTAGCATACTGTACGTACATCAACACCAAGATATAATATACTGGATGTGTAACGGCAGGTACAGGACTTTTGGTTCGGTACACGCTGTGATCCGAATGAATATAGTCTAGTTTTAATCACGCACGTTACTTTTTCGTGTGCGGAACAAAAATTATAGTCTCGTGCTTTTAGTCGAATCAGACTGACTTCCAAAGGCCTAACGTTGTGCTAGTTAATTCTGATATACGTTACAGCCAGTTAAATTGGCATGCTGGTAACATGCAGTAACATAAAACAGTGTTCAACTGCTACCACACCTTTGTTAAAAAACTGTTCGCTAAAATAATAAAACATGTCTTACCTTTGGGAGAACGGCGGTCTCTGAAACGTGTCTGTTGAAGAAGATGGTTGACATGCACGTGGCGCGAAAAAATGCCTCGAGTTTGGGCGGGAGTGTAACGTTATTAAATTCAAAAACCTCCCGCTTAGTAAAATTAATAAATTTTTGGCATTTTTGACTTTCCTGATAAAATACAATTAAATTCTACTCAGTTTTTGATGGCTGATTTTATTTGAACAAAACTGAGTAAAATACAATTAATAACTAATAGAAAGGTGTTGAATTCAGCTCAATGTGATTCTAAACTACACATAGTCATTATTTTTATGTATAGGCTACTCCTATATATTTACTAAACATTAATTAACCCCAGTCTCGGTTTTTACAGTGTACTATTCTGTTTCCCAACTTCCCATTCGGGTGCTGATTGGCTTTGTCATCTGCTTTTTCCGACTTCGGCATGCAGGGAACGCATATATGCCTACAAGGTACGATGCCATTCAGAATAGACAATATCACATTTTAATAATATTTTTGGAACAGGCATATATACATTTCTAAATTTGTAACATAATGAGTTGCATATTTAGGAGGTAGATAAACTTGAGAGAAAACTATTAGTGCTGTGTGAGTTTGTCGAAATAAAATTGATACATGCTCAATTGGTCCATCACAGTGTCTGTACATGTGACGGCTAATCAATATGGTTCGTCTCCAACTATATAATCTCTATCTTTTGTTTATCATTTTAAATCTCACTAATCTGTATCCACAGTTTTGCCTCGTTTTATTCGGTTTCAGATTGCGCTATTTTGTGTATATACGTGGCTAACCTATTTCTATCCAAAATTTACTATATGCGGTTTGAATTCACTCATATGTCCCTATGTGGTCAGTCATGGGACAACATTGTGTGTGTACTGTAGACGCTACTCAGCAGCCAGTTGACTCGTGCAATTTCACTTTGTGAGGCACATAGGGACAGGATAGGGATCGTCTCCCGGCTGCTGTGTCCCTATGGCCCCATGCCGATCCTCTACAGACTGAACCACTTTGCCGCCATCTGCACAACTTATGCTGCAGAAACACACAACGCGTACACGCGAACGTGTACACATCAAACTCAAAAACGACACAATGGACGTGTTTGTGCACACAACTCAAAACACATACATGACACAAATACCACACTCAGCACAAAGATAACACGCACTGCACAATGCACCACACGAAGTGCATAGTGGTAATGGTGGTGGGAATGAAGATGATGTTGATAGTGGTGCCAATGAACTTGGCGATGATGCTGAAATTTACGAAAGTTGGTGATGATGGTGGCAGTAATGATGGTGTTTATGATGGTAAATGAGTTGGTAATTGACCATGCTGGTGAAGGCGACACTGGCTAGAGTGATGATGCGACTGGTAATGGTTCAGGTGTTGATGATGGTAGTCGTGATGGTGACAAATATCGTCGCTATGACAGTGACGATGGTAGCAGCGATGGTGTTGAAGGTAGTGATAATGGTGATAATATTGCAGCATTATAATCGAAGCTGCGGAGGAAGGACAATAAATTAAACACAAAAAGGTCTGATTAAATAAGTTGTCAATCTAGATTTAAAAGTTAACAGATGTTTTGAGAACTTTTGTCAAGATGTGAATCTAGATATGAAGCTGATTAGGGTGAAATACTCTTGGCCCCGCTCACGACTACCCCACTTATTTCTCATTCATATGCAGCTACGCTTACTAGAAGTTACGATAATATAACCTTTGCACTTAATGCAGGACAACAACAAAAATAGAGAGCGTAGAGGTGGTCGGGTGTCAGGCCCAGGTTCTCAGCAGGGCTGGCGGCTGAGAGCACAGAGCACTGAGCCGGTACTGCTGAGATCACGGGTTCCAGTCCAGGTTTCAGCTGGATGTGTTTCAGCCACGCTAGTAAGGATCATCACGGTCATTATTTAATGAACAAAAAAGCCGGAATATATATATTTTCAATCTTGATTTGAAGCTTTCGTGACTGCGGGAATCCATACTACAGTATTTGTTTTTTTCGGTAAAGTCACGTAGGTATAAAAATAATAGATCACGACGTTTCGATCGCAACACAAGCAATCGTCATCAGATGGGACAACCACGGCAAGAAAAAAAACTGCTGAAGTAGGCGAGAGATCTGCCGTGGCACGAGGTTATATAGGCCTCGGCAGTAGGGGAGGAGGGGAGGGAGAAGTGGGGAGGAAGGAGGCGGGGCAGAAAGTGGACCTTGCAGCAGCACTGGAAAGATCGGCTGCAGGGGGCGGGGGGGAGAGAGAAGTGGGGAGGAAGGAGACAGGGCAGAAAGTGGACCCCGCGGCAGCACCCGGGTCACTGGAGTAGACATTGGAGAGAGATGCACAGAGAGAGAAAGACACACAGAAAGTCGGAAATAACAGCTGACATAGGCAGGTAGGATGGAAACATCACAGCCAGTTAAGACTTTACCTGGTTAATCACGTCCTTCCAATGACTGCTCAGTTTATACCCATCTTCTCGGTTGAAGTTGTGTCTGTGTTTATATATCTGGATGGGTTCATGAACAAATCTCTGATAACAGCCGGTGGGTTTGCAGAGCACGTCCGTCTTGGAAAAGGCAAGTTCGTGTGAGCCCACTGCGTTAAAACAATGATCAGCAACGGCAGAGATATTGGTCCTACCGTGTTTCAGATCTGCCTTATGTTCGCGAACACGGTCCGAGACATGTCGTTTCGTTTCCCCAATGCAACTGCTGCCACAGCCACAACTTAGTTTGTAGACACCAGGATATTGCATGTCAGGAATCACATCCTTTACAGATGGGATCAAATCATGGATTTTGTGTACTGTGTTGAAACAAGCCTGGATCTTGTGTTTGTTTAAGATTTTGGAATCTTTTTGATAACCCCTCCTATGTATGGCAAAGTGATGGTATTGGTTGGATCCTCAGATGGTTGTCTCCCCATGGCTGGGGAGACAGCTTTTGCGGATTGTACGGTCAAAATATCCGTTCATCCTGAGGGCTTGGTGTATGTGCTCCAACTCACTGGCTAGGTGGTGCTGGTCGGAGATGGTGTAGTGTTTTGATGAGGGAATTCTTCTGGGCTGGATGGTGGTGGGAGTCAGGCTTTAGATAGGCATCCGTGTGGGTAGCTTTCCTGTAGACAGAGTGTCCCAACGAGCCATCAGGTCTCTTCTCAATCAAAACATCCAGGAATGGTATCTTACCATTTTTTTCCACTTCCATGGTGATAGATGGGTGTATGAAATTGTTGTGGTTGAGAGATTGGTTTAGTGCTGGCAGGCCATGTGGCCAGATGACGAACGTGTCATCTCCGTATCTCTTCCACAAGGATGGATGTCTGGATGACATCTGTCTCAAATTTCTCCATGAAAACATTCGCTACCACTGGCGATAAGGGAGAACCCATTGGGGTACCCTCAATTTGTTTGTAAAATGTACCATTCCAGGTGAAGTAAGTGTTGGTAAGGCAGTGTCTTACCAAAGTTAGTACATCTGGATTCAGTCCCTGTTGGACCAAGTCTTCAATGATTGCAATGGTATCAGGTACATCTATCTTGGTGAACAGGGAGACTACATCGAAACTAACAAGTAAATAATCTGGAGACGGTGAGATGTCCTTGATTAGAGAAACCAAGTGAGCTGAGTTAAGTACAGCTGAGGTGGTCTTGCCCGTGAAAGGAAACAGGGACTCAGACAGAAATCGGGCCAGTTTGTAGGTGGGTGAGTTAATGGTGGAGATGATAGGACGGAGCGGGATACCTTCTTTGTGGATCTTTGGAAGGCCATAAAATCTGGGTGGTCTAGCAGCTGAAGGTTTTAGAGAGCGCTGCTTGTTCGAATCGATAAGAGAAGTCGAATTAGTGATGATATTGTTGTTTTTTGTAGCTAGGCTGTTGGTGGGATCTCTGTTGATTTTGGTATAGCTGCCATCATTAAGAAGGTCCTGAATTTTGTTGTTGTAAGTGGTTTTATCTATGAAGACAGTGGCATTGCCCTTGTCGGCTGAGAGGATGACTATGTCATCTCTGTTTTTGAATTGAGAGAGATCAAAACGCTCGTCCTTGCTGATGTTGCAAATGGGTTTCTTAGCGTTTTTGAGGATAGCAGCGATTTCAGATCTAGCAACGTCTGCCGGGATGTGTACCAAGCCTTTGAGGGCTACATCGACCTGGGCAATGATATCATCCATTGGGATGTGTTTAGGGGTGACTGCAAAATTCAACCCTTTAGCTAGTACCGATTTTATGCTGTCGGAAATAGGGATGTTACTATGATTGATGACAATCTTGTTAACATCTAACTTTTTAGCGTGTGGCTCTGGCTTATTTTTTGACAGGAGGTTGAATATAGCAATCAAGTTAACTTTACATTTGGTTGACATTGAAGTAGCTGAAGAAACTGTCGTGTTGTCTACATGGTCCCAATCAGATGTGGACATTTTTTCTGTTAATTATAAGTGTGATTGTAAGAGAATCTTGTCTAAATTATCAAGTTCAAATCGGAGCAATCTTATTATCTCTGTTGTGAGCAAGATGGCGCCGATTATGGCAGCCTCGGCCGGTCGGTGCGCCCTGTTGTCTTGTTTTGCCTGTTAATTCAGTGTTCTGCCAAGTTTTTCGGAGTTCTCTAACAAGAGACAAACTTTTAAACATCAGGGAAACAACTCCTGTGGATTTATTTCCCACTTTTCTGCTTCCAGCGGCAGAATTAGTGGGCATTCTAGTCAAAGCCGCGCTAAGCTTTGCTCAAGCAGCAAAACCCCGCCCAAGGGGTAAACGGCCCGGGGCTCTAGTGCGGCTACGCAGACGCGGGATCCGAACAGTGCTTCCAAGCTTTTTCCTCTCCAATGTACGTTCACTGTGCAACAAAATGGACGAACTTCAGCTACTGATGGTGAAAACAGAGACTTTCTTTCATCTTCTGTGTTGTGCTTCACGGAGACATGGCTGTGTGATTTGATCCCGGATACTGCGTTACAACTGGCAGGCTTCCAAATCGTAAGATTTGATCGGGACATAGCATTCTCCGGCAAG